TTAGAGATTCAAAAATGGTATTATCTTCCATTAGATGTCTCAGCTGTTTAAAAGACATACAATTTATTATTACTTTTTTTCTCAGTGAGAAAACACCGGGCTCTGCACACTCTGTCTGTGCATCACAGAGTTCCTCCAAAGACGTACCTCTCCATTTCAAGAAACATCTGTAAGATCTACCTTTGAGCACCCTACTCTGACAAACCTCCCTATTCTTTAAAAATACACAATTTAAAGGTTGTTTTTGTTTCTCATTAAATCCTTTTTTCTACACAGTAAAAAGACACAATGGTCTAAAAATCAACTCCAATCTGACTGTCAGTCAGTGAGCTCTTCCAAAGATGTACCTCTCCATTTCAAGAAACATCTGTAAGACAGATTTTATTGTTTTTTCATCGTTGATGGTGAATTTTCTCTCTTATTCTTCTTTTATGGTTCTGCTGCTGCTGCTGATTAGTATTAGTAGTAATAGTAGTAGTATTTATTAATTTATGAGTGATGGATTTTAGACTGGTATGCCTGATATTCTAAAGGATACCTAATCTAACTTTAAATGTAAACTCAGTGATGTTGTTAGTTTTGTTGGATTTTTTTTTAAAAAATGGACAAAATCTGCTGACTGAGTATTTTTTATTTTTTGTCATCGGTTTAAGAGAAATGCAATTTTTTCTTTCTCAGTCCGGAAACACCGAGGTCTGTCTGTGCATCAGAGAGTTCTTCCAAAGATGTACCTCTCCATTTTAGGAAAGATCAGTAAGGCAGATTTACTCACGATTCTTCTATTATTTTTTACCTTTGATGGGGGATTTTTAGACTCAAATACTTGCAAGATTCTAGTTCTTTTTTTATTTATTTTTTTAATTTGCAGTACAGAAGCCCTATAGAAAGCTTGTTGAATTTGTTTTACAGTAAAACAGTAATATACACCAGATTTTAATAAAATTTCTTTCTGTGGTTAAACCTTCATTAGTGACAATTATATTAAAGTTAACTGTGTCTAGCTGGAATGGGTGAAATGTAAACTTTTATCCTTGCATTTTTACTAATAAAATGGCCAAATAAAGCTTGAACGTCCTAGTCTTATTGTTGTCTTTCAGAAAAGTATATGGAATGCCAAAATATTGGGGTGGACATATGAGTGGTGTTGCGAGTCTTCCCAAGTATGTTTTAAACATTGAAATATAGTAGACAGTATGCCATACAGCATGTCTGTTGAATTAACTAAATACATGCATAACATTTGCTCTTTGCAATGATTTTTCAGGTTAAACTTAATGGGGCCTACAGCTGCTGTATATCCAGTGAAGACATCTAATATCATTGAGGAGGCTAAATTTTCTCCATGTTTGCTGAAGAGGACTTCCATTGATGACCAACCCCAAAATCAGTAAGACACTCAAATCTGGCGAGTTTTGTTTTAAGCTTTTTGAACCTTTTAAAGCAGGTTGTTGTTAAAATCAGGTTTGAGTAGCCACCAAAACGTTAACTGAAAATTCCACCCAATTAAGAACAACTGACACGTATGTTTGCTAAAGCTAGGAGTATCCAGCTCAATCTGCTCATGCATAAATTTAATTTTGACATTGGAAAGCATAAAAAAGATCCAACCCTCAGTTGTTGAGTAAAGCCATCTTGGTAACCAAGCTTGGTACTTCAATGTGTTTAAGCTTGAAAGTCTTGCTTACCTTGTTCATAATTGTGAATCCATGATAAGAAGTAGCTTAACAAATGATGTCATTATTCTTTCAGATTGGAGAGTCCACACTGGGACTATTTTGAACAAGCGACAGAATCAACTTTTGAGGACAACAAAACGTACGCCAGACTTTATCCCCAGCAGTTTAAATATGATTTGCTGATACTGCTTACAGACTTTTTATTGGTGTCTGGGATACCCCCAAACTAGGGAACACATGTGAATAGGGCGCCTTCCCTGTCGTCTCCAGCTTAGCTACATGCACAGTATATAAACTGTAGAAAGGAGATCCAGTGTAATCATTGCATTGTCACGTAGACCTAAAGTCAGAGACTTTAGATAGTAAAACAACATACCTCCATTGAATTCTTCCTGCTCATATTACAAAATTCTGAGATGGTTGGAATAACCCCCCCCCCCCCCCCCCCCCCCCTTTGCCTTTCAGTCGTCACCAGGATGATCTAGAGAGAGCAGAATCCACAAAGTCATCTACATCGGGTTACTCATCATCTAAAACAAGTGGATCAGGGGGTTTCGACTCTGACGTTGAGACTGTTATATATGATAATATGTACGATAACTGCTGAATTTCAGTTCATTGATATAGAAGGCAATGCCAATACTAATCAACCTTTTACTTTTCTGTTTGAAAACAGACAGGTGATCTGTGACATTTGTCGCAAAATTGCTGCTGTGAAGACCTGCCTGACCTGCAACGTTTCCTTCTGTGAGAAGGATGGCCGGCAACACTACAAAGTGGATGCCCTGAATAGACATAAGCTCATAGATGTGTGCAGTGAAGTCGAGAGAAAACGGTGTCTTCATTATGAAAAGTCTCTGGATTTCTTCTGCAGGACTGATCAGATGTCTATTTGCAGCATTTGTGCAGAGGGGAAACACAGGGGACACGACATCACTGAGCACAGGGCATGGAGGACACAACAGGCCGTGAGTCAAGTGAAAGGGTGATATCGAAATCATTGCTGATGTGCTGCATTGTTCTTACAATCGCTATTTAATTACAGTTGTCTGATGATGAAGAACCCGAGGACAAAGGTGACTGACACTATATAATGATTCACTATGGCATCTAAGTAACAATGATCTGTGGCTACAACAAGAAATCAATGGAGAGATTCACCATTTAATGAAGTTTTGACACTTTCCTCTTTTCATATAATTTATATGAAATTAATACAGGGAAAAAGACTATCAAATTTTGTTCGGAAAGTTCAGTTTCAAAGCAGAAAACAGAAAGTAATGACCTTCGTTGGTGAATATATATGGATGGACTGCTGACAGCTTATAGCTGAAATGCATTTATATTGCCATCTGTAAATACTCAGAAGTATAATCACCAGTGTGTGTCATTACCTTAGATTTGAAGTTGAGCGCACTGCTACCATGCCACAGCAGACCAATAAAGAAATAGAAACATCTAAAATGGTTTTATGAAAGTGTGCGGACTTTACTCTAAAGTCAAAGGTCAAAGCTAAAAGTGTGCTGTTGGCACTATCTTCAGAGATTTATGCCTCTCCAAAGCCAATTAATTAGACAGACTTTGAAGTGTAAAACATGTTTTTCAGGTATTAACACATGCATTATCAAATATAACTTATAATGACTAAATTATTGAGTCATTCTGTGGTTTTAAGACAAGAAATTATTTTTTTAACCATATTTAAAAATTGTGTTTTGCTACATCAGTTGAATTTTAAAAGTCATGATAATGTTGGAATCAAAAGAATTCAAATATTTATCTTTGTTTATCGTTAGGTAAATGAGTACAGCGGAAAGAAAATGTTTTCTTATTTTACATTACATTTTCCAGTGGTGCCCCCTCCTGGTAGGATTCAGTTCCCGTCAGTGAAGCCAAACTCGGTGGTCCTCAGCTGGGGAAACCCAAAGGGACTAGAAGGACCCAAAAGCTTCAGGATCATGTGGAGCTCTTCGCAGAAGGTGGAAGGTCGCTTAGTCATCAAAAATTTTCATAAAATAGAAATAAGCAACCTTGAACTTGGACAACAGTATTTCTTCAGCGTGGCCACAGAAGATGAAGATGGCAATTTAAGCGAATGGCTCACTGCAACTGTTTTCACAGGTAAAATCTGAAAATCCACATCATTTATAGATTTGCTTCACTGTTCATATTTTAATTGGATTAAACATAATAACTGCTCTCTTGCAGTTGTGCCACCCCCTCGACATTTAACAAAAGAGCACTCCGATGCTACATCTCTGACCTTGAAATGGATGGATGGAGAAAAAATGGAGGGAATTCCTCAACAATTTCTCATAGCTGTTGAAAGTCCAGGAAAAGAGCCTCTGGTGATACACACCCATGATTACTGCAAAAAAGTCTCTGATTTAGAACCAGACACAAAGTACACCATCTCTGTCTCAACAGTGGTGAATGATAGGTGCAGTGAGCCAATTTCTATCTGCACACGCACAGGTGAGATGATGTTAAAGCACTTGCTTTTTAATTATTATTTTTTTTAATGTCAACTATATAGACATATTTGATATATTTGAAGAATTACAACTGCTAGCATTTATTTTCTCACATTACATGTACAGATATACTTTACTGGTACCAATTTTCAACAACAATTTTACTACAGAAGAATAAAGGTGATGAATGATACCATGAATCTATGGGAAAGAAATGCTAAAGCTAGATTAAGAAGAGAGGTGACGATCAGCGAGCGGCAGTGTGGCTTCATGCCGAGAAGGAGCACTACAGATGCTATGTTTGTGTTGATGGAGAAGTATAGAGAAGGCTGGAAGGAGCTTCACTGTGTCTTTGTGGATCTAGAGAAAGTATATGACAGGGTGTCAAGAGAGGAACTATGTGTATGTGAGGGTGGTGCAGGAGATGAGGACAGCAGAGACAGTGGTGAGGTGTGCGGTAAGAGTGAGAGATGAGTTAAAAGCAGTGTTGGGAAGATTACTTTTAAAATGTATTCCACTACAGATTACAGAATACATGCCCCCAAATATATTTTGCAACAAGCTTTTTACAACTACATGAATGTACTATTGCTGTGTGATTTATTACTATTACTGAAGGATACTTGTCATACCAATACCAACTAGATTTTTAAATCTTAATATAAAATGAGTAACAGTAGGGGGGACATTAGGTAAGGCTGCACTTTTTGCAGCAATCTCGTATAGAAAACTTTTCCGCGCGTATATAAAACAGGTTTGCGGCTCCAGACCGCAGTAAAGGGACTTCTGGCTAATACGTTGGGTTCTGTGTCGGACTCGTAGCCGAAAACTAGCTTTACTTTGTTGTTTGGGTCAACTTTGCTAGCGAGAGACAGAGAGAGGCGTTGAAAGGCTGCTTCAATGGAACTTATTGTTTCAGAGGAAAACATGAACACAGTGTACAGTCGAGTCTTAATAGCTTACTTACAACTGGGCTACACTGCCCATAAGGCTACATTCTTTAGGGCTATGCCTGTAACACTTTGCTTGTTGCCTTCATATTAAATAATTTTTTGAAGAATAATTAAAAGGAAAAAAAATCTTAACATCATTATGCGGGCCACAAGTAGAGGCGACATGGGCCGCGGGATTGAGACACAGGCATTAGAGCCTCTTAATGCCTGTTTTGTTTGGGTTTCCACCAGAAACAGAGAGGGGACCGCGTAACATATGAAACAGGAAAAGACCATCATGTAATCCCTTTATTTCAGCAAAGTAACTGTATTCTGAATACCACCTCTTTAAACGGTAACTGTAACGGAATACAGTTACTCATATTTTGTATTTTAAATACGTAACGCCGGTACATGTATTCCATTACTCCCCAACATTGGTTAAAAGTGGTGCTGCGATTGGGGTTTTCAGTGGTGATGGACAGACTGACAGATGAGGTCAGGCAGGGGCCTCTGTGGACTACGATGTTTGCAGACAACAGTGTGGTCTGTAGTGAGACAAGGGAGCAGGTGAAGAGAACCTGGAGAGGTGAAGGTATGCACTTCAGAAAGGAAAATGAACGTTAGCAGAAGGAAGAAAGAATATGTGAGGGAGGCAGATGGCCTTAGACTGTCATGTTTTGTTATTAAGGCATTCTGCTTCACTTGTTTTAAATTGAAAATAAATTCCATTAAATTGCCAGGTTTTAGCTTGACTTGAGGTTGATGTAAGGCAGTTGTGAATTATATATGTTTTGTGTTGGTTACCAGCCCTTCACACTAAAGCTTCACCATGATCCACTCACTATCTTAGTATGTTATCATGCGTCCTCTGTGGGTATCCTGATGCTCGGTTGTGAAAAATAAATTAGTGCTGTCAGCGTTAATCTCGTTAAAATAGCGTTAATGCCATAACCACATTAACGCGGCGTTAATAAGCTAACTGTGCTAACACGTTTACGCTGTGAAGCCCCACGCATGGAGTGATCCACAATAACTCGCTAACTGAGATTTGCCGTGTTAATGCGGTTATGGCGTTAACGTTGTTTTGACAAGATTAACGCTGACAGCACTAGAATAAATGCATCAGTAAAATAATAATCATAATCAGTAAAAATGACCTAGTACGCTTACTGGTTTCTTTTGTTAATTCACAGAGCCAAGTCTAAGGCAGGTGTTGTCAAAGATTGGACTGGAAGACCAGTATGACACCAAGCTCACACTTAGCACTGTCCTGGAGATTAATCAGTATGATCGATCACAGAGGAAACCAAAATCTGCAAGGGCAGTTCCTGAGGCCTTTTTAAAGCAACTCATGTTGCTGAATACAAATGCTAGAAGTGCCACATGTGTGTCTCAAGATGGGGACAAGTGCAATGCTATCAATCTTTTGGACTTGGTAACTGCACTGTTCCTTTGTTCAGACAGTGCTCTTCAGCAGGACTTGGTCCTGAAAATGTCACTCTGTCAGTTTGCTGTCCCGCTCTTGCTTCCAAACTCTGAAACAAGAGAAATCACAATGATGCTGTGGTCTATGCGCGACATTGTCCGAACTTTCAGACCCTCTCAGCAGGCGTTCCTAAAGTCATACTGTGATGAAAGACTTGTGCTGTCTGATATTCCTTTGGTATCGTTTGTCAGGCTGGGAAAAACATCTTTGTCCAAATCTCAGATGTTGAACAAGTTGCTGTGCAACAATCAGCAGATTCATCACACATTTTGTCACCGTATCATGGCATGTTGTGATGTTCCCAGAAGAATTTCAGATGGACTGGTGGAAATCAGCTGGTACCTCCCGTGTGGGAACAGGAAGATAGATAAATTCACAGAACCATTGGCTTTTACCAATATGAGAGGAGATATCAAGACTTCTGCAAGACAATTTGCATTCCTCTGTCAGGCATCTGCAGCTGTTTACATCTACTGTGATGAATCAGAAACTAATTACTTCAAGCATCTGGAAGGAAAACATCTGGAAGCAAATATCTTTTTGATAAGCAGCACACAGGGAAAAAGCTATAGACTCAAACAACTGACTGTGAACCCAAGATTAAAGATGACTGATATTAGTCAGATTAAAAAGACTGATACAGAACTACTAAAGGCACTCCAGGAATCAGTCTCTAAAATGCTAGTAAGCCCCCAAACCAAAAAAGTGTCATTGGCAGATTTGGCTTACACAGCTCACTGTTGTCAGATTCTCGTTGATGAGGATAGGGATGAATGCCAGACTGCTTGGGAGAATGCGAGTAAAATCACTGCAAAGGTAACTAACATCTCTGAATTCAAAGATAAGCAACTGCCTTATCAGGGAAACCTCTGGAAAGCAATTTCATGGGTGGAAACTGAGTGCTGGAGGCTACGTAAAGTTGGAAACAATAACCCTGGCAATTACTGCGAGTCCATAAAAGAAAAAGAGAAAGAGCTGAGGAACAAGCAGCGAAGTTTTGAGATGACAACTGCAGTGGAATGCTTCCACCATGGGATGACAACCTCAGAGGTTCAACGCTACCATTTTCTCAAATGGCTGGAAATGGAACTGGATAACCTGTCCAGGCATCAACTGTCAGCTCTCCAGGATCGATACAAAGAGCTTAGGCAGAAATCTCTCGAGGAAACAAAAGAAATTGTGGAAACTGACAACCAAATTTCAGCTTGCTCTTTAAGAGTAGTCCACTTTGTCAGAGAGTGTGGGCAGCTGTATAATAGTGTGAGTTGCCTGCCAGAATACAGTCGTCAGAGAAAAAACATCGAACAGCTTCCTGGACAGTGTGCTCAGATGATGCTTGATGGTTTCCCTCTTGAGCTTGTTGATGGAGATGCAACAAACATCCCAATAAAATGGATCAGCCAGGTACTTACTGAATTGCATAACATCATGAATTCCAGTAGCAAGCTTAAGGTCATCACAGTCATTGGAGCTGAAAATTCAGGTAAATCAACTTTGCTCAACACCATGTTTGGGGTCAGGTTTGCCGTCAACGTGGGTACATGCACCAGAGGGGCATTCATACAGCTGATCAGTGTCAGTAAAGACATCAGGAAAGAGCTGGGCTGTGACTGCATCATGCTCATTGATACAGAGGGCCTGAAGCCACATCGGATGGTTCGTGATGATCACAGCCATGAACGTGACAAAGAAGTTGCGAGCCTTGCAGTGGCACTCAGTGATGTTGTAGTTGTCAGTATTTCCAACGACAGCTCCAGAGAGAAAGACCTCTGGGAAATGGTGTGTCATGCTTTTGCAAGGCTGAAGGGTGTTAGCAAGAAGAAGCCAGTGTGTCATTTTGTACATACAAACATGTATGACATGCCTGCTTTGGAGCAGCTGAAGAGAAGTAAAGAGCTGATGGAACAGCTCAATGAAATGATCGGAAAAGATGTTAAAATGAAGAAGGCCAACATCAATAAGCTCTCAGATGTGATCAAGTTTGATGTAAACAATTGGAGCTGGTACATTCCTCCAGTGTGGGATGGGACTCCACCAATGGCTCCTGTCAATGTTGGCTACAGTGCAACTGTCTATACTTTGAAAAAGGTTCTAATAAATGACCTCCAAAAGTGCCCGGAACGAGGGGATCTAATTCAATTCATCGGGAAGGTAGAGCAATTCTGGAAGACTGTGTAAAGAAAATACATGAAACTGATATGGACTTAGTATATGGCCATAAGCTATCTGACCACAAAAAAGTATTTATTTTCAATATTGTTCACTCATTTTTGTTATTTACATTGTGTTTTCTGAGTCATTAAACGCTGTACAAATGAAACATCAAAGAGGTATATATGCATACTGTGTATGCTTACATAAAATAACCATGTACTATGAGGCAGGTTGTCAGTTAAATTTCACCAAGAGGAAAAATGGTGCAAGGATAGGAAACTGATATTCACTGTGTGGTAGACACAAATCACTAGTAATTGTTCTGAAACAGGTATCAAAAAGATATTAAAAATATTGTTTCAGATGCTACTCTGTATAATAAATATTGTAACTCATAACAAAGCATTCATGTTTTCTATGTGTATTAGATATTTCACAGTTAACACATTCAAGTTTAAGATGAAGTGGCATTAAAATATTGAAATTCAGAAAATACATTTTTACATTCATATTAATGTTTCAACAAACTTGTAGATACTAAACTGCATAGTTAGTGACCAATTCACCCAAATTACAAATACAATAAAGAAACAGAAAATACATCTTATAATTGAAGTTTCACAGTATCTAGTCAGTGCAAACAGGATCTTATTTTTTCAGGCTTTTAAATGCAATTCTTCTGCAAATTCATATGAATATAAACTTTTAAAGACACCACAGGTTTGGTCTATTCCCGCTGAAAATATCACTCCCATCTCTTGTTACACACATGATACATATTAGATTTATACAACAGTAACACATTTAAGGGATTTTTATAAGAGGTTTTGCACGTAACTGAAAAAACACCAAGATGTCTTTGTACATGTGAGAAAAACATTAACAGTCCGTAGTCTGGCCAGTGTTGTGTTTAGTGCAGTAGTGTGAGGTTTACTGAAGAATCAACGAGACATCATTCTCACAAACTCTGTGGAAAGAGAGAATATATTTGCATTGTTTGTTGGGAAAAGGGCACTCCCACAGCCATCCACAGTCATCTTAAAAATCTTTAAAAAGATTATATCATCCCTAATTGTATTAC